TATGGATTTGAGCAATTGTATGGATTTGAGCAATTGTATGGATTTGAGGAGATGTATAGATTTGAGATTGCGTGGATTAAGGAATTGTATGGATTTGAGCAATTGTATGGATTTGAGGAATTGTATGGATTTGAGGAATTGTATGGATTTGAGGAGATGTATAGATTTGAGATTGCGTGGATTAAAGGAATTGTATGGATTTGAGGAATTGTATGTATTTGAGCAATTGTATGGATTTGAGGAGATGTATAGATTTGAGATTGCGTGGATTAAAGGAATTGTATGGATTTGAGCAATTGTATGGATTTGAGGGATTGTATGGATTTGAGGAATTGTATGTATTTGAGCAATTGTATGGATTTGAGGAATTGTATGGATTTGAGATTACCTGGATTCTAGGTTTGAGGAATTATATTGAGGAGTTGTATGAATTAAAGGAACTTCATGGACTTGAGATTGCATGTATTAGAGGAGCTGTGCGTGTTCGATGAATTGTATGTATTTGAGGAGCTGTATTGATTTGAGATTGCGTGTACTCGAGGATCTGCGTGTGTTTAGGGAATTGTATGGATTTGAGGGATTGTATGGATTTGATATTGGTTGGATTCTAGGTTTGAGGAATTGTATTGAAGAGTTGTATGAATTAAAGGAACTTCATTGACTCCAGATTGCATGTATTAGAGGAGCTGTATTGATTTGAGATTGCGTGTACTCGAGGATCTGCGTGTTTAGGATTTGAGATTGCGTGTATTGGAAGAATTGTATGTATTCGAGTAATTGTGTTGATTTGAGATTGCGTGTACTCGAGGAGCTGCGTGTGTTTAAGCAATTGTATGGACTTGAGCAATTGTATGGACTTGAGATTGCGTGGATGCCAGGAGCTGTATGGAATCCACGAGCTGCATGGATTCGACTAATTGCGTGGCTTTGAGATTGCGTGTCAGAGGAATTGCGCGTGTTTAAATTTGAGTTTGCCTGGTTTCGAGTACTTGTATGTATTTGAGGAGTTGTATGGATTTGAAGCACTGCGTGTTTCCAGGAGCTGTATGGATTCAAGGAATTTCATGATTGGAGGGGCTGTATTTGAGGGATTGTATGGAGTCGAGATTGCATGTATTAGAGGATTTGCGTGTGTTTGATGAATTGGATGTATTCGACAAATTATATGGATTTGAGGAATTGTATGGTTTCGAGATTGCATATGTATTCCAGGACTTGTGTATTCCAGGACTTGTGTATTCCAGGACTTGTGTATTCCAGGACCTGTATGTATTTAAGGTGTTGCATGTACTAGCGAAGTTGAAGAAACGCATGTATTCGAGGAGTTGTTCGAAGAATTGCATGTATTTGAGATTGCGTGTGTTTAAAATATTGCATGTATTCGAGGAATGGCTCGGCGGCGAAGAATGGCATGGATTCGAAAATTGGCATGGACTCGAAGAATTGCGTGTTTTCGTGTGGATTTCAGAAATTGTATGGATCTGAGTAATTGTATGTAATGGATTCGAGGGATGGCATGGATTGGAAGAGCTGTATCAAATTGTATTCGAGGAATTGGTTGTATTGAAGAAACTTTTGTATTCGAGGATTTGCGTGTATTTGAATTAATAATATACATTTTAGGAATTGCATGGATTTAGTAAATATGCATTTGGCATGCTGCAGTTCGTCGTTTGAGCGAAACTGTATGGCTGGGTGCAAGCTTCTGAGATGGGACCGGATAATTAATGAAGTCTGCTAAAATGGAAGGAACGCTCGGTGATATCGTATTCGGAAGAAAGACACGTCTCATCCGCCCGGTTCAGTGGTGGCTGGATGTAACTACATGCTTTTTGTATGAGTCAGATAGCATGTCTGAGAATTGCTTGAAATTGCAAATTTCCAACATTATGTCGAGCAATACGTGATCAAGTTACAGTCTGTTGGCATGGAAAGGCCCGCACCAGCCAGACGCCGTGGCTGGTGAACCCGTGTATTTCATTGAAATTGCATACTGAAGAAGAAGGGTACGCTGAAAAAAAAGGCATGGTATTTTTGAAGACTCCATCAGAACATGTTTGAGGATTATGCATGACTCAATGAAGTAGCATTAGCAAGATCCGATAGTGTTACAATATTCTTGGTCTGCAATCACATTTTCTTTGCAGCTGTTGTTAGTATTTATGCCTCTAGTCCTACTGAAGTGGCGATACATTCTTCCACCCTGACCACTCTTGGAAACGGGATATTTACATTCACCCTAATAAAAACTGATCTCGACGGAAACCTGGTTAAAGACTGCTTACTTCGTTTGTGGATACGTTCAATCTTTCGTACAAATTCGGAAGTCGCAATGATCACTAAACAGTTCAATAAATGCTATCTCAGTCAACTTTCCACCCAGGTTGTTCAATGAGAGACGTGATGAAACTAAATGGCAAGTGCCTATTGGTTTGTTCCGACAGAATTGTTGATTTGGCGCACTTGCATTTTCAGATGGAATGATGCCCCGACGAAATGGACGACGAGTCGAATGACAGATTATAGTAGTGCTTCTGATCTGACAAAGGACCTAATCACACTTGAAAGACCTTGAAACAGCTCTCTTGGTTTCTAAAGTTACCTGTTTTTTTCCGTTGATTGAGACTTGGACCGTCTCACCCCACGCATGTGCTTATGTTATGTGTTCACTTTCTGGGATAAGTATCCTGCTACAGTCGCTGCAATGAAGAGACCAAAAGGATTATATTCTTTATGACTCGCCGCGTCTCGCAGGTCGTGGTTGCGAGAACATTCAGGTTTGCAAATTCTACAATGAGATCGGTAATCGGAACTATCATTCCAGTTCAACTCATTCTTAGGTAAACTGGAGCTTATGCCATCGGTATTGGAAATTTAACAGTTGTTGTCAATATGGCGCAAGAATTCGACTCTCATTTAGACCTCTCGTTGTTAAGTTCAGTAGGGGCACACATATGAGTGAAACTGCATGTCCCTAAAAATGAAATGAAATTGCGTATCCGTATGAATTTCATGTTCCTTTCATGGTAATTTTAGAATACGGATGTAGCGATAGCTCTCAAACTGTAAATGAACTGGCAGAACTGTGTGTCTAGTAACTCGATCCATCTCAACAGAACGCTTCGCTTATTTTTCGGCTTAGTATCTATAGACTTCTCGGGTTTTCCTCCGATTCCGTGTCAAGGTTCAACGAAAAAAAGTAGACTCTTTGGTCCGAGTACGAATGTGTTTCATTTTCCTTCCGTTCTGGGCTTTGAATACAGTAATAACTTGTGATTCAGTGCTAAAACAATGATCCGGCTGTATCTCCGCTGCGTACAGACTATGGTTTTATCAAGTAGTTCCGTCATTCACACAAACAGTTATGATATTTGTTTGGCAGATACAGTGGAATGTCACGAACAATGAGTGGCTTTTTTCCATTCAGACTCACTGACTGAATTGTCCGATTTTTCTTGACGCTTAATGTGAAACTAATAACAATATAACTTTTATTGGAAAACTACTTGCAGCTCAGTACTATTGCCAGAGCGGTGTACTCAGAATCTTCTACAATCAAGCACTACAGTACGCTTGTCGATTGATGTACCTATCGATGCAACAATAATTCACTTTTAGTCATCCCTCCTTACCAGCACACTTTCTAATTAAGTACATAAGACTTTGTTCCGTGTTCTCTTCCAGTTACCTTCATCGTACCCCCATCCAAGCACAAGGCGAGACATACCCACTATCCTTTGTTCAATAATGATAACTCGATTAAATTTCTATGTATAATTTGGATTTCTTTCTTTTTTTTTCTTTTTAGCTTGAGTGTTCGATAAAAAAGAGTTTCTAGTGGAAAGCAACCAAAACCGGAGTCGTCTTGAGCATCGTCATTCCCCCAAACGATCGATGTCTTTGTAAAGCAACTCCCAGCCATGACTGCATTCATGCTGTTCCCCCAGCGATTAGACTTGGCTTCCTTAGAAGTCAACGCCAATCACCATGGCCAACAAGGCCATTCTTATGTACAAGCCGTATCTCATTTGTCTGAAGTACGCAGCCCTTTGGTCAAAGTCAACCTCCTCCTTCACCTCAGATGTTCTTGGCAATGGGTGCATCACACACATGTGTTGCTTGGCATGAGACAAGATTCTGTTGTCAACGACATAAGTGTCCTTCAATCTCAAGTAAGTCTCCTTGTTCTCAAATCTCTCCTCCTGCACTCTGGTGCAGTACAAGACATCGGACTTGGCAATGATCTCTGGAGTCAACTCCTCCGTCTCAGAGATCAACATTTGGTTCTCCTTCAACATTTCCTTGATGGAAGAAGGCAAGGCCAATTCCTTAGGAGACACCAATTGCACACGCACTTGGTAGTGGCGCAATAAGTACAACAAAGAGTGAACAGGTCTGCCGTACTTGAGGTCGCCCATGAAAGTCACAGTGATACCGTTCACAGTTCCCAACTCTTCTCTGATGGTGAACAAGTCCAACAAAGCTTGCGTTGGGTGCTCCTTGCTACCGTTACCACCGTTGATGATTGGAACTGGAGAGTATTTGGCAGCAATATCGGCAGACTCCTCAGATGGATGTCTCAAGACAATGGCATCGGAGTAGCAAGCCAAAGAACGGATGGTGTCCTGCAAAGTCTCACCCTTCTTGACAGAGGAAGAGTCAGCAGCAACGGCGACAACTCTACCACCCAATCTTTGCATAGCAGCATCGAAAGAAGAGGAGGTTCTGGTGGATGGCTCGTAAAACATAGTAGCCAACAATCTGCCCTTCAACAAGTCCAAAACGCCTTGTCTCTCAACACCCAATCTCATCTCTTGAGCAACAGTGAACAAAGCATGCATGTCGGAGCGAGTGAAGTCCTTCACGGACAAAACAGAGTTTCTCAAAAAGGTGTTGTTCTTTCTGATGTAGTTCACAAGAGCGTCACCTTCAGACAAGTTGGCGGGAGGTTGAGAAACCAACTCCGATCCCAACTTCTCCAAGTCACCTTGTTGGGTGTTCTCCTTGAGAAGAGATGGACGGCGGCCGCTGTTGAAAGAAGCTCTGCTCACCCTGCGGTGGCCCATGCTTGGAGATGGTGGGACAGCAGTAACTGAACCAAATCTGTCTCTGGCTTGAGCACCATTCTGACCAGATGCAACGCTGGACAAAATCACGGTGTCCAAGCAAACAGTTTCACCGTGGTGAGAAACTCTCTCGATGTAACCTCTCAAGTTCACGTTCTTGAAAACAGCGGACGTGAAGTCATCTCCTTTGTAAACTCTGTCAAGGTCAATGTCAACCGAAGCATCTTGTTGAGAAATGTTAAAGATTCTAGCCGGGTTGGTAGAGAAACGCTTCACGATATCCTCGATGGTGAGCTTGCCATCCTTGACAGCAGAAACCAACAAGGGTAAAGTCTCCTTTGAGCCCAAGCCGGGCACAATGTCGTAACCAAGTCCCTTGGCAACCAAGTATGGGGTGACACCAATGGTGAAACAGTCGATGTCCTCAAGTGCACTCCACAAAGCAGCCTGGTCCTTCTCAGTTGGCAAGAAGCTGAACTGAGAGTAGTCAGCTTGAGAAAGGAACAAAGAGAACACAGAAACATCGCAGGTCACTTGCAAGCCACCAGTCTTGGCCATCTTGATCAAGCCCAAGTCTTCTGCGGAGCAAACACCAGTGATATGAATCGAGCGGTGGTTCAAAGAAGCCAACAACAACACAGAGGCCAAGTCAGTAGCCTTCGCATCAGTGATGATTGGCTTGTTAGCAGGCCAAGCAGTGAACTGAGCAGAGATCGAAGCAACATTAGAGCTAGCCAAGTCGTTGTATGGCAAGTACAAAGCACCAGCGGAAGCGGAAGCAGAAGCGATTTCAGCAGAGTTCGTCTCTGAGCCAGCAACGTAAACAGTGAAGTCAGTGTATGCGGACTCAGAAGCGGCAGTAATAGCTTCCCCTAAAGCATTGGCATCGGCAATAGTCGTACCCGAAACGGTCTGAGGCAAGAAAGCGTTGAAAGTGAAACCAGAAGCCAAAGCAGTCTTTGTAGTCTGCTCAAAGTCCTTCAAGGATGGAACAAAAGATGAGATGTTGACCAAGCCGGGTAAGGTCGTGGTGGCGTGAGAGGTTTGAGCATCATTGTTGGAAACCTCCATGTTCGGAGCTCTGGAAAGAGCCTCGATCAACAACTTGGCACACTTGACGTTTGTGACTAATGGGATAGAGTAATCAACAGCCATACGACGAGACTCGTAACCCTTGGACATGTAGTTCGCAGGACGACGGAAACGGTTGGCAGACGGCAAGTTGATGTACAAATCAATTAAGTTCTTGGCCAAATGCTGAGTCAAAGAATACTCAGATTTTTGATCTTCTTCCTTGCTCAACACTTCCAAGTAGTGAACTGGCACACCGTGTTCCTTGATAAAGTCAGCGGTACCCGCAGTGGCAAACAACTTGTAGTTCATCTCATGCAACTTCTTGATAGCGGGTAACAATTCCTGCTTCTCCTTGAAAGAACCAATGGAAAACAAAATGTTTTTCTTTGGCAATTTGAAACCAGTCGAAATCAAAGACTTCAAATAGGCCTCATACTTGTTTCTACCGAAAGTAGCAACCTCACCAGTAGAAGCCATCTCAACACCCAAAATTGGATCAGCACCAGCCAATCTTGAGAAAGAGAATTGAGGAACCTTGACAGCACAGTAGTCCTCGGGTAATTTCTCACCAGGGTATGGAGTCACAGGAATGTCCATGATCGCCTTGGTGGCCATCTCGATCAAGTCAGTTCCAACAACCTTGGAGATGAACGGGAAGGAACGAGAAGCACGCACGTTACACTCAATAACCTTGATGTCGTTGTCCTTAGCAATGAATTGAATGTTGTAAGGACCGGTGATGTCCAAAGCCATACCAATCTTGGCAGTGGCCTCAACGATTCTTCTGACAGTCTCAGGGTCCAAGTCTTGAGGTGGGACAATAAGAGTGGCGTCACCAGAGTGGACACCTGCGTTCTCAACGTGCTCGGAAACAACGTGCATGATCATTTTACCATCCTTGGCAACGGCATCCATCTCAATTTCCTTGGCGTTCTCGATGTACTTGGTGATAACCACAGGGTAATCAGGAGACACGTCAACAGCTTGAGACAAGTAAGAAGCTAAGTCAGCCTTGGAGTAGACAGTGTTCATGGCAGCACCAGACAACACGTAAGAAGGACGAACCAACACAGGGAAAGTGACCAAGTCAGCGAACTCTTCGGCTTCCTCGTAAGAAGTCAACTCCTTCCAAGCTGGTTGGTCAACACCAATTCTGTCCAACATTCTGGAAAACTTGTATCTGTTCTCAGCAGAGTCAATCATCTCAGGGGAAGTACCAAAGATCTTGACGTTTTGACGGTGCAAAGTCAAAGCAATGTTGTTGGAAGTTTGTCCACCCATAGAAATGATAACACCAGCAGAGTTCTCCAAGTCATAGATATCCAAGACTCTCTCCAAGTTGATGGTCTCGAAATACAACCTGTCAGCCTCGTCGTAGTCAGTGGAAACAGTCTCAGGGTTGTAGTTGATCATGATCGTCTTGAACTTGTTCTCTCTCAAGGTTCTAATGGCTCTGACAGCACACCAGTCGAACTCAACCGAGGAACCAATTCTGTAGACACCCGAGCCCAAGACAATAACACCGTGGTCATCAAAGGTAACATCAGAAGAGTCAGCGTTGTAGGTGACATATAAGTAGTTGGTGAAAGCAGGGAACTCGGCAGCCACAGTGTCAATCTGCTTGACGAATGGTATAACACCGGCCTCCTTTCTCAATCTTCTGATGGCAACTTCGTTCGAGCCCAAGAACTTGGCAATCTGTCTGTCCTCGAAACCTAATTGCTTAGCTTGTCTTAACACTGGAATTGGAAGGTTTTCCTTGACACCATAGCCAGCAATCTTGTTACCAAACTTGATCAAACCGTCCAACTTGTTCAAGAACCATTTGTCAATGTTGGTCAATTTCCAGACCTTGTCAACAGAGTAGCCGTCAGACAAAGCATTGGCAACCGCGAACAAACGTTGATCGGAAGGAGTTTGCAATTCGCTGTCAATGTCGATGGACATCAAGGCGTTGGTCTTGTTGAAGCCCAAGTTTTGGTAATCAACGGATCTGATAGCCTTTTGAATAGCTTCTTCGAAAGTTCTACCGATCGACATGACCTCACCAACAGACTTCATGGACGAAGACAACAAGGAAGAGACTCTGGTGAACTTCTTCAAGTCCCATCTTGGAATCTTGACGACGACGTAATCCAAAGATGGCTCGAAACAGGCACAGGTAGATTTGGTGACAGAGTTCTTGATCTCATTCAAAGGAATGTTCAAACCCAATTTGGCGGCAGTGTAAGCCAATGGGTAGCCAGTAGCTTTGGAGGCCAAAGCAGAAGAACGAGACAATCTTGCGTTCACCTCAATAATGCAATACTCCTTGGAGAATGGGTTCAAAGCGTACTGGATGTTACACTCACCGACAACACCCAAGTGTCTGATAACATTGACAGCAGTAGTTCTCAACATGTTGTAGTCTTCGTCAGACAAGGTTTGCGAAGGAGCAACAACAATAGAGTCACCAGTGTGGATACCCAAAGGATCGAAGTTCTCCATGTTACACACAGTGATACAGTTGTCGAAGGCATCACGAACAACTTCGTATTCAACTTCCTTCCAGCCCTTCATGGATCTCTCCACAAGAACTTGGGATGAGGTGGCGAAAGCCTTGGAACACAAGGCAACCAACTCCTCCTCGTTGTCAGCAAAACCGGAGCCCAAACCACCCAATGCAAAGGCAGCTCTCACAATCAATGGGTATCCGATGGCGTTGGCCGCATCCACACACTCTTCGACTGTGGTACAAGCCTCAGATCTGGCACACTTTTCGTTGATCTCATCCATGGCACTGGCGAACAACTCTCTGTCCTCGGTGGTAATGACAGTGTCAATTGGTGTACCCAAGACCTTGACGCCCAAACCCTCGAACTCGTCTTTCAAAGCAATTCCAACAGACAAAGCAGTCTGACCACCGAAAGTACAGTAGACACCATCGGGGCGCTCGAATTGGATAACCTTTCTGACAAACTCAGGGTTGACAGGCAAGAAATAGACCTTGTCGGCCAAACCCTTGGAAGTCTGGATCGTGGCGATGTTGGGGTTGATCAAGATCGTGTAGATACCTTCTTCCTTCAAAGCCTTGATAGCTTGAGAGCCAGAGTAGTCAAACTCACCGGCTTGGCCAATGGACAAACCACCAGAACCCAAGACAAGGACCTTCTTGACGTTTTCTCTAGGGTGAGCAGCTCTGTTCTCATCGATGTTACCACCTGGGAACTCAACAGCCTTGTAGACACCAGTGTTCTTGAAGTCAACAACGGCGTTGATGAACACGTCAAACAAAAATTCAGTGTCTCTTGGGCCTGGGGTAGACTCTGGGTGGAATTGAACAGAGAAAAATGGCTTGCTCTCGTGGTAGATACCCTCGTTGGATTGGTCGTTGGCATTGACAAACAACTCCTTCCAGCCGGAAGACAAAGTGGAAGCATCGACAGCGTAACCGTGGTTTTGAGAAGTGATGTAACATCTTCCAGAGGTGGTGGATGTACATGGGATGTTGTGGCCACGGTTACCGAACTTCAACTTGATGGTGTCGGCACCGGTAGCTCTGGCCAACAACTGGTGACCCAAACAAATACCGAAGACAGGAGTCTTGCCCTCCTTCATGACACGCTCCAATCTAGCAACGGTTTCGGTCATGACTTGAGGGTCGCCAGGACCGTTCGAGATGAACAAACCGTCGTACTCCTCAACAGTGAAGTCGTAGTCCCAAGGAACCACCTTCAACTCAACACCTCTGGCAACGAAGCAGCGGATCTGGTTGTACTTCATGCCCACATCCACAGCAACAATCCGGATGGGCTTGCCGTTCTTGTCGGTTCTGACGTTGGACTTTGGCGTGTACAAAACAGGCTCCTTGGTCGAGACCTTGGCAACCAAGTTCTTCACGTTGGGGTCGTCCCATTCGGGAACGTCGAAGTACTGTTGCCAGTCCTGTTGACCGAGCACGTCGTCGTGCTTGGTGGACTCCTTCTGCACCGAGAGTCTACCCAAAGTGGAACCATTGTCTCTCAACTTCTTGGTCAAGGCTCTGGTGTCCACGCCGTAAATGGCAGGAATGCCCTCCTTTTGCAACCACTGGCCCAAGGAAGACTTGGCCAAGAAGTGAGAGTACTCCTCGGTGTAGTGGGCCACCACCAAACCGGCAATGTGGATGCGGTTGGACTCGAAGTACTTGGGCAACTGCTCGACAATGTCGCACTTCAAGTCTCTGTCGGGCACACCGTAGTTGCCCACGAGAGGGTAAGTGATGACCAAAATCTGGCCCTCGTAGGATGGGTCGGTGACGGACTCGGGGTATCCAACCATACCGGTTTGGAACACCACTTCACCGGCAGCAGACACCGGAGCACCGAAGGAGTAACCCTGCAACGCGTGACCGTCCTTGGTCTCCAAGGTCATCAAACGGTCACCGGTGGACTCCATGGGTGGGGAGATGGGAGCAGACAACGAAGCCATCTTTGAAAGTTCTCTGTGTGGTTGTTTGAAAAAAGGGGGAAGTTCTTCAAACGAAAACGAGTTGAGCGAAGCAAGTTTGCAAGAAAAGGGGGAGATTTCAGCAAGACTTGTATTGGGGAACGATGCACAAGAGAGCTGGGTGACGTTAGTATTTGCGATGCGATAAGAGAGCGCCGATGAGGCCAGGGCGACGAAAAAAAAAAAAAATCCGGCGAAAAAAAAGAAACGCGCCAGCACTCTGGAGTCCGACTCCGACCAACTCGCCGCGGGCCTTGGCCATGTGCGAAAACACCTTTCAACAGGAAGCCAACAAGCAGCCGAAGCTAGATGCAAGGACTTCTGCAGGCGTGGCACGTGCCAAGAACGGAACACGAGTCCGCACCGTGCATGCGGGGAAAGACTGAGCAAGTGGGACACAAACGGATGCAAATCCGCAGCCCGGCTTGCCAGCCATCGCAAGGCTGCAAAAACTGCTGGGGCGTTTGCCAGGACTCATATAAAAGGCATCCAAAGGAACAAGCAGACACGTAGTGGACCACTTGTCTAGAGAGACATCTACGCTGGAGGCAGGCGGGAATCCTGGCTCCATCTAGTGAACTCTCAACAAATGGCACAAAAGCGTGGCGGCTGGTCCGGTCGGCGGGAGAAGCAACATACTTCTTAGAAAAATTCACAAGGGGGGAGGTGAGGTTTTTCTAATGCGATCAAAGACAGCAACTGGGGCAATTGGCTATTGTTGAGAGAGAGGAGAAGAGAAAAAGAGGAGAGGAGAGGAGAAGAAAAATAACCTCTGACGGGGGCGCCGGCAGAGCTCAGGTATTTATAGGGAGATGGCGAGCGCAGCAGGCGGAAAAAAACTCACGGGGCGATGAGCTGGCGCGGTGCAGGCCCCCGGAAGTGGCCGCGCGCAGTATGGGCGGGTCACGTGCCGCGCGTTTCCGAGGGGCGACGTAATCAAGGTTGCGTCGCGAAAGACGTGCAACCGCGCGGTTGCCTCCCAATGTCTGGTGACGAGATCCCGGCGGCATCGTGTGACCCATCGGCAAAATCCCCTCTTCGGTTCTGACGGCATTTCTTGTTTGCCCCAGCTTCGAAACCGGCCTTGCGTTTTTTTCTTTCTGCAAGGAGAACATAAGAAATCAAAGATCCAGTGGTGAAAAATGGGGGGTTAAGTCGAAGCTCGATGATGGTTGACGGCTGCATGTTGAGTCAGTCTCGATGTCCTGTATGCACGATTTTCCTTGTGTGCACCCCGTGAAGAGTGCCAGCGAAACTGTTGTGCTGCGGAAGCAAGAACTGGCGCTTTGTTTAAACAGAGGTTTCGAATCAAGCCAAACCTCAGTGGCCGTTTAGCAGTTTATTTGCTCTTCTTTCAACTTTCTGCGGCTTCTTCTGCTCGCCGTTTGTGGGAAGGAGAACACGGCCGGTGCTGCACATGGGCCCATGCACGATTTTCTTAGTCCGGATCGGGGCTTGACTGCCGCACATGGAGAGATCCTCTGAGTAGCAGTGGGATTAGGGCAATCTGCGATGGTGCTGTGAGGCTTGTTTTTGCTGGATGATTCGTTCGTCATCTGATCACGTTTCTGTCGAAAGCATCGGATTCGGCCGCGGAATTTGCATGCTTGGAAAGATGACATTGAAAGGTATTCAAAAGGTGCCAACTCGTCGTTCTTGTTTGGATTCGTCCGCTCTTTGGATGTAAACGCATTTCCAGGCTGTCTCTATATGCCTTCGTGGACTGTAGAAAAGATTCTCAAAGGCTTCTGAACTTTAATCTCAGATTTTGGTGGACGCAGACATACAGGAATCATGGAACGGGCCCCGATGTGAGACAGTGCGGAGCAGGTGTGGCAAATTAATATGCCATGCAAATATAAACTGTCAAAAAATTACAGATTGACTTTCTGACAGCCCCGGACGAATATATAGCGTCTGTGAAAGTCTGTAGACGGTCAGGAATCGGGACGTGGCTTTTTTAATTTGTTTCGTGCAATGTTAAGTTGTCAATAATATGCAAAAAGTTTATAAAACTGAAAAAAAGTGAGGAAAAAAAATCAAACGGAATGATAAGAATAGAATGATTTCTGTGATGGTAGTCTCAAACATGAGCAAAAATTAGATTTGAAGACCTCAAAGTATATATCCGTATATCTTATCTTGGAAAACATCAGCCCATCAGAACTTGGAAGAGCTATTCTGAGGGAACCTCTCACAAAGTCACCCATGTGACGGACAGCAAGAGATAAAGTAATGAGTCTTTGGCAAAAATGGCAAAACAAATCGAGGTACCACCATCGGAGTTTCGGCCCGATGATCCCAGAATACAGGTGTCGATAGATCTTGAGAGTTACAGCGGTCATGCCTTTAATTAGTAAACAGTCCCAATCCGGCAAAAAAGCACACAAGTCCCATTTTTCATGAGCGAATAGAAGCGAGCCAGGCCGTTGGAATTTCCAAGGTATGTATCTAGAACACCTGCTCTCATTGGGTTGCCCCTAGAAGCTTTTGTATGGAGAGGGAATAGCACCTCAGGAGACGATGTATTGGAATGTCACGAAACTACAGCTCTGCCTAATAAACCTCTTTATATTTCAGGATATTTCATCGGTTTTGAGTATTCAACTTCAACATATAAAACCAAGACAATCCCAGCACACAATCGACCAGGCCGTTAGCCTAACAAGAGTGCTCTCTTTCGGCATTGAATATATGCGCTAGCCACAACGAGACAGGCGATTCTACCAGTGACATGCCTGTGTCTGTATAAATTCGTGAAACAGCCTATCTGAAGGTGTGCTGCAATATATATATATATATATATATATATGTGACAGAAGCTTTAGGTAGTTTGAGGAGACAAATTCAAATTTTAAGCGCAGCTTAATCATCCGGATTCACCATGTAGTGGGCATCACTGTATTGACCCAGACACCGCCTTTCGTTCCTCTATGATTAGCTGGATCAGACCAGAGAGAAATTCAAGTGTAGTATAAGAGACACAAGCAAACTATGTTGTCTAAAATACCCAACCTACAATCCTCAATACATTTTATCTCATGTGAGACCACGATGATACTCTTATGTGATGATGTGCTTTGATCAAAAGGGACGAGTAGTCATAGTATACCGACGTTATAGGGTTGTAAGCACACAGAAACTTGAAAACTGCATTGAAATATTGGATGTCATTTATTCCAGCAACTCCAAGGTATTGCATTCATAGCATTGCACACACATGGAACATCACCCGCGGAAGAGATAACCAATGGTTTGACAGAAACACACTTGCTAAAATTCATGCACCAAGAAGATGTGCTCGGCTTCTCTTTAAGGAGCCTTTAAGAAACGACGTTAACGAGTCCAATTTTGCCCATAATCCAAATATGTAACCAATGCCTAAAAGATCCGCAGCCTAGACGTTTCTAAGGATGGCAAGCAGTTCGGACGTCTGTGCAATCTTGCTGTTGCAGATCATGGAAGCACCACACAAGCCAAAGGCTGATTTCACACGAAGGAATTCTCACTTCCTGTTCCCGGTATTTCAAAGAGTCTCAGCCATTTTCCGATCCCATAGACTATGGTAAGCCGCAACTCGAAGACAGCTCTTTAAACCCCAGAGATGTCTTTTGTTCAGACAGCACAGTTTACTGATAAACATGGTTGGCAAAACTTTTATTTTCATTCCCAGCTTCTGAGCCCGGGAGCAGCTATATGTCCGCAGACAACCTTGCAGCAATTTTCTGAATGAAACCATATGGAAAGACTTGTGAGAACACATATGGGAGGACCAAGAAAGATAAAACTTGACAGCACCTATAGGGACCAAGATGGGTACAGCACAATGCCCAAAACTTGATGAAAGGCGGTTAAATGAATGGGTGCCAATAAAGACCAATTTCAACTGTGTGAAGCAAATGACGCAATCTTACAGCGCTAGTTTTCAACAAAGGCTAGCTGCACCATCGTTGCACCCGTATTGCAAATAGTACCACCAGCATATTCTCCGCTCTGTATGAAACCCTTCCTGAATGTGCTTCCCACAGCAAGATGTATTGAAGAATCTGATGATCAATCCGCGCACCTCACCTATTGAAAGGATAGTATGTCGTTAGAGAGGAATAACAGCGTCCAAGGATTGAGACATCCCAAATAGAAATCAGTGGCTTCGGAAATTTCCAGAAAGCAGGTTATCCGCGGAAAGCAGGAAAAATGTTTTTCAGATTGCTCGATGGACAGTCCAAAAACCCGCTTTCATCCGGCCCCTAGCAATAGGTTCGGAGAAGAATACCGAGGACTTTTTGACAGGCCATACTTCATGAGGTCCGATAAATTTTGGGATCTTAAAACTGCAGATATTCGGGACAAGCCCGTGTGAGCATTGTTTCCAGTGCTGCTATTGGGGAGTATGTTTGAGAGAAATGCCGAGCTACGAAGGAGTTGCAAACAGAGTCACACAACAAGGTTTCCACGAGCAGAGCAGCTGTGATTTCTTCAAACATGGTTTTGAAATGCTGGACAGACTTCCCTGTAAGGCTTTGTTTCAAGTCCTTTCCAGGTTGAGATAGCGAAAGCTAGCGACACCGCTGCGAACCAGAAGCCCCGGAAGCAGACATTGCATATCTTCTTAGAACGGCGTGTTTTGCAAAAAGCTACATAAACGAATTGGAAAAAAGGTGAAAATGCGTGCTGCTCAAGGCATTTCTGAAACCATCATCACATAAGATGGCGATCAAAAGAGATGCCGGTGAAGCACCTATGGTTCGGGGCATAGTCTCCACACCGACGATCAGTGGTCTTAAGGTAGCAAAGGATCTTCTTAGGTGCCAGTCCACTTTAAAAAAGCCAATTCTCTTTTAGAAGCCAATTCTCTTTTTAGAAGCCAAACCACTTTTTAAAAGCCAATCCACTTTTCTCAAAGCCAATCCACTTTTCTAAAAGCCAATCCACTCTCTAAAAGCCAATCCACTCTCCAAAAGCCAGCTCACTTTTCTTAAAGC